TCCTTATTGGAGTGAAATATCATCTCAACTCGGCTCTCATCAAATGCCACAAGATCGTCCATACTTACTAACAAGAATATTTTGATCAAAATTTGAGCAACTAAAAGTAGATGTGATTAATAAAAGGGTCCTTGGAAAGGTAAAAGTTCTATATATGTGACAGAATTTCAAAAGCGTGGACTACTACATGTACATATGTTGTTGATCTTTGAAAGTAATGAAAAATTACGTGACCCAGGAGATTATGATAACGTTGTGAGGGCAGAAATACCAAAATTTGAAGACGAACCACAGTTGCATGAGGTTGTACTAAAACACATGATTCATGGACCTTGCAGAACTTTGTTTCCAAATTATCCATGTATGAAGAATGGTCAGTGCAAAAAAAGTTTTCCAAAACAATTTGCCCAAGAGACATGCCAAGGTAATGACTCATATCCGCAATATAGAAGACGATTTAACCAGCCAATATTTGTTAATAGAAATGTGACTATTGATAATAGATGGGTGGTTCCTTATAACCCTTGGTTACTTTTAAAGTACAAATGCTATATAAATGTTGAAGTATGCAGTAGTATCAAAAGTATGAAATATTTATATAAATATGTCTACAAAGGTCTAGATCGAATAACAATGGAGGTTCGTACATGTTCAAATGTAGATGAGGTTCAACAATATATTGATGCAAGATGGATTTGTGCTCCATAAGCTTTGTGAAAGATATTTAGATTTACTCTTTATCGAATATATCCATCTGTTGAAAGATTACAAATTCACTTACCAAATCGTTATCAAGTGCGATTTTACAAGCATCAAAGAATCACAGATGTTCTAAACAATGACCATAACTCCAAAATAATGTTGACATAGTTCTTTTCCCTAAATCACAGAGATACAAATTCAAGGAGTTATTTATATATAGAGATTCCAGAACATTATTGTTTGCATAAGGGTGAAAAGGAATGGTACCGAAGAAGGTCCCAAAAGAGAGTTTGGTAGGATTTATACAGTATCTCCTTCAGAAGGAGAAAAATTCTACCTATGTGTTTTATTATCTCATTTAAAAGGTCCAATGAGTTGGGAAGATTTGCTTTCACCAAATGGAACATGTTTTACCATATTCAAGAAAGCTGTGGAGCATTGGGACTTTTTAGAAAGCGATAATAGTATTCATGAATGTTTAGTTGAAGCATCAAGTCTACGAATGTCTTATGCTTTAAGGAGTTTGTTTGTAACTGTATTATTTTTTTGTGAACCTACTAATGTTAAGCAACTTTGGGATGATTTTTACACTTACATGATGGAAGATTATCCTTCAACAAGCGTTACTGCAAGACCAAGTTTGATTAACATGTTATTAAAGGATTTGAATGACCTTTTGATTCAACATGGAAAACAAATCACAAATTATGATTTGCCAACAATAACAATGGAGAATACTCAAAGTTCTTTGATGCCAAGGGTTATACAAGAGGAGTTATCCATCCAAGTAGGTATGAAGATGTGGAATCGGTGCATAAATTAAATAATGATCAATTATTTGTATTCAATACCATTATGGATGTTATCAATAATAAACAAAGTCAAGTTTTTTTTTATGGATGGACCAAGAGGAACAGGTAAAACATTCCTTTATCCTACTTTAATTGCAAATTTGAGAAGCATGGGACAAATTGTTTTAGAAACTGCCTCATCTGGTATAGTTGCAACACTATTACCAGTTATGCTGTCCTGGTGTTGGGTTCTACGGGTCATTGACCATGCCAAGAGGTGTATGATTAGAGTTACCTGTTGGTTTCAGCCTTTTGCCGGGCAGAGATACTGATAAGAAGGTTAACTAATAACACAGTCCTGGCTAAGCCATTGATGGTCTTGTAGGTTTTTTATTACGGCCATTGCCGTGTCCGAGAGCCATCTCGGTGACTGATAGGCTATCACGTGTCGAGCCACGTGGTCGATAGGACCCTTCCGGTACAAGAAGCAAGGGACAAATTGTTTTAGCAACTACCTCATCTGGTATAGCTGCAACACTATTACTTGGTGGTCGAACTGCACATTCTCGATTTAAAATACCAATCAATGTAGAGGCAGATTCATTCTGTTCAATAAGTAAACAATCTGATCTTGCCAAGCTAATTAGAGAAACAACATCAATCATTTGGGATGAAGCACCCATGACAAATAAATATGCTTTGGAAGCATTAGACAGATCATTAAAGGATATTCTAGATTGTGATACTCCATTTGGTGGTAAAATCATGATATTGGGAAGGGATTTTTGTCAGGTGCTTCCTGTTATTCAAAAGGGTACTAAGGCACAAATGATATATGCATGTATTGTTAAGTCTCATTTATGGCCTATCACAAAGGTTTTACATTTAAGACAAAACATGCGATCATTACAAGATCATAATTTTGCTGAATATCTAATGCGTATTGGAGATGGTACTGAACCTACCAAATATAATGATATGGTAAAAGTATCCCATCAAATTGAAATAACATGGGGAGGGGAGAATTCAATATAAAAACTTATTCATGATACATTTCCCCAATTAGAATCTCATACATGGGATGCATCTTATATGGTAGAAAGAGTCATACTAACACCAAAAAATGAGGATGTTCAAAAAATTAATGACATTATCATCAACCATTTCCTAGGAGAAGAACGTGATTTGTTATCATTCGATGAGGTTGAAGGGGACAAACACAACTTATATCAACAAGAATACTTGCACTTTATTACTCCAGGTGGTTTGCCACCACATAATCTAAAGGTTAAAAAAGGTGCACCATTGATGTTGTTGCGAAACATAGATCCTAAAGCTGGCTTATTTAATGGAACAAAGTTCCTATGCCGTGGATTCTTTATGAATATGTTGGATGTTGAAATCTTAACAGGTCATAATGCTGGAAAGAGAGCTTTTTTTCCAAGGATTAAACATAAGACAACAGAAAATACAGGACTTCCATTTGTACTTATTAGGAAGCAATTTCCTGTAAAACTAAGTTTTGCAATTACCATAAATAAGTCACAGGGATAAACAATACCCAATGTTGGAATTTATCTTCCGCGACATGTTTTTAGTCATGGTCAATTATATGTTACTTTTTCAAGAGGTGTTTGTCAAGCTTCAACGAAAATTCTTATTAAAGAAGGAAAACTTGAAGGGGAAGATGGAAACATTACGAAAAATATTATTTTTCAAGATATTTTGTTATCTCAAAATCAGTTGTTGCCCCTTTTAATTTATAATATTTATCAATTTAGCTTAATATTTGATAATGATATACAAAAACTAATATTTGTTTCTTTTATTTTTTATCTACAGTCAAATTAAGATTCAAGGAAATCTTCTAGTTATATGAAGAGATTAATAGAAAGAATTTGAACATGTATTTTGACAAACAGGTAAGTGATAACATATTTATTCACTTTTTATTATGAAACTTTATTATCACCTATTTTTCATTATATTACTTATATTTAATAGGAGGATGACTTTGAAAAATTATGGAATATTTGGAAGGACCAATATTCACTCTCAACAATTTCTCTCATTGACAACAAGGTTCAATTTAATTTAAAAATGACATCTTCATATTTTGTTATTACTTATTTATTTAATTTTAAATTTTTGTTGTTGCAGGTTCATCATTTAAAAGTATATTCTATTGGATGGAGTTCTACAGTAATAGTAGATAAAACCCAACTTTGAAAAATGGTGAAAAAAGAATTGTTGTCTCAAAAATTAGAAAAGGTAATATAATAATATGATTATAATAATATTTTATATGTGACAATTTGATAGATATAAAAATATAGTTGTAATATTTCCTCATTTAAATCAATTCTAACTCATATTTTTTCACAATGTTAGGACACTTGAAAATACAACATCGACTAATATTTGTCATATTAACAACTTTTGTACAAAACAAAATATCTCCATTTTTTAGGTTGTGGTTATTTATTTCATAAACTATAAAAATTGAAATGAAATGTTATATATATCATATTGATACTTGACATTGTATTATTTATTTTCGTAGTTTTTTAAAGTCAAGAAATTATGGATGATGTATTGTATAAACAATTGAAATTTATTCTTGAAAGGTATGAGATTATTCAATTTAATTATTTTTTAATTATGATATATATTATTTCATTGTTACAAAATGACATTTAATTTCTTTCATAAATTATAGGAAAGCTAAAAATCGTCCTGAAGCGAAATCATTATTTAGTCTTTTTATTAAGAAAATTTTATGATTACAAAATACCATATTGTACAGTACATAAATATGTGTGTATATATATATTACTTTAATCGATGCTTACAAATATAACTATGTAGAACATTTTATCTTATATTTTATGCATTGTTATATATAAAATAAATAAAACAAAATTAAATTGTATTTATTAAATAAAAAACAATAAAAACAAAATTAAAAAAGTTGACAAGTATTTAAAATTTTACAATATTATAATATAATTAATATGCACTTCATCAATAAATAATAATTAAATTAATCATTTAAATAATATAAAATTATTTATATAAGGATATATCAACAGATGAATTCAATTAAATCACGAGTTATTTTAAATTTGAAAATAAAATATATATAGAAGCACGTTAGCTCCGCTAGTAAGTTGTAAAGCTGTTCCATGACCATTAAATTTTTTTATTATTATTTAAACAAACCGAAAACATAATAAATTTTAAAAAATAAAAACTGGTAATATTCTTTTCACTATCCCGTTAATATAAAATTTGAAATTTGTTTTTATCGTTTACCCTGATTCCCCTTGGTTCCCTCCTGAACAAAAGGTAAAGAAAGCCGTCCTGCATTTCCCCGCACACTGCATTTGTTAACACCAATGGTTCTGGAGCTTCTTCTTCCGCACCCTCACCAAGCACCACCAATTCAAAGTCCAAATCCAACAACACCCTAATGCTGTTGTCAGCTACGACGTCGTTTCCACCCAAATGTTCCCTCTCCTCCGCAGACCCATTCTCCCCTTCCCCTCACGCAGAACTCTCCACCACTCTCGCAACCTCCCCCCACCCTCCCCCGCCCTCCTCGACCAAATCTCCCGCCTCCTCCTCCTCCGCCGCGCCGACGCCCTCCGCCGCCTCCCCTTCCGCCACTCCGACTCCCTCACCGACGCCCTCCTCCGCCGCCTCCGCCTCCACCCCTCCGCCGCCCTCGCCTTCTTCACCCTGGCCTCCCGCCACCCCCACTACCGCCCCCACGCCGCCTCCTTCTGCCTCCTCCTCCACATCCTCGCCCGCGCCAAACTCTTCCCCCAGGCCCGCTCCGTCCTCCACCAGCTCCTCTCCCTCCACTGCACCAACGCCTTCCGCACCTTCTCCGTCTGCAACGACGTCGTCTCGTCCTTCAAGCTCCTCGGCTTCTCCCCCACCGTCTTCGACATGCTCCTCCAGGCCTTCGCCCACCGCGCCATGACTCGCCACGCGCTCCACGTGTTCGACCAAATGGCCAAGCTCGGCAGGCCGCCCACCTCCCGCTCCTGCAACTGCCTGCTCGCTCAGCTTGTCCGCGGCGGCGAGGCCGCCGCGGCCCTGGCCGTTTTCGAGCAGGCTTTGAAGATGGGGATTGTGCCTGATGTTTACATGATTAGTATTGTTGTGAACGCGCATTGTCGGGAGGGGAGTGTGGATTGTGCTGAGAGGTTTGTGGAGAGGATGGAGGGGATGGGGTTTGAGGTTAATGTCGTGGTGTATAATGCGTTGGTTGGAGGGTATGTTTGTAAGGGTGATGTTGGAGGGGCTGAGAGGGTGTTGGGTTTGATGGAGATGAAAGGGGTTGAGAGGAGTGTTGTTAGTTGGACTTTGTTGATGAAAGGTTGCTGCAGGGAGGGCAGGGTGGATGAGGCTGAGAGGTTGCTTCGGCGAATGGAGGGGGATGAGGGGATGGTTGTGGATGATCGTGTGTATGGTGTGTTGGTGGATGGGTATTGTCAGGTGGGGAGGATGGATGACGCGGTTAGGATTCGAGATGAGATGGGGAGGGCGGGGTTGAGGGTGAATGTGTTTGTTTGTAATGCTTTGGTTAATGGGTTTTGTAAGCAGGGTCTGGTTGGTGAGGCTGAGAAGGTGTTTAGGAGGATGGTGGAGTGGAATGTGAGGCCGGATTGTTATAGCTATAATACGCTTTTGGATGGGTACTGCAGGGAAGGGAGAATGAGTGAAGCTTTTGAGCTTTGTGAGGAGATGTTGAGGGAGGGAATTGAACCGTCGGTTGTGACATATAATATGGTTCTCAAAGGGTTGGTTGATGTGGGGTCTTATGAGGATGCTTTGAGCCTTTGGCGGTCGATGGTGGAACGAGGCGTGGCTCCGAATGAGGTCAGCTATTGTACTCTGCTTGATTGCTTTTACAAAATGGGAGATTTTGATAGGGCTAAGGTGCTTTGGAAAGAGATTTTAGGCCGGGGTTTTAGTAAGAGCACAGTTGCATTCAATACAATGATTGGTGGGTTGTGTAAGATGGGGAAAGTGGGGGAAGCTAAGGCTGTTTTTGATAGGATGATGGAACTTGGATGCAAGCCGGATGGAGTAACATATAGGACTTTGAGCGATGGATATTGTAAAGATGGAAGTGTTCTTGAAGCTTTTAGAATTAAAGATATGATGGAAAGACAGACAATTTCTCCTTCTATTGAAATGTACAATTCCCTTATCAATGGACTTTTTAAGTCTAGGAAGTCAACTGGTGTCGCCGATCTTCTTGTTGAGATGCAGACAAGAGGACTATCACCAAATGCTGTTACTTATGGTACACTTATTTCTGGTTGGTGCAATGAAGAGAAGCTGGACAAAGCTTTTAATTTATATTTTGAGATGATTCAAAGAGGGTTCTCTCCAAATTCGGTGATCTGTAGCAAAATAGTCAGCAGCCTTTATAAGAACGATCGAATCAATGAAGCAACTGTGATCCTAGACAAGATGGTGGATTTTGATCTTCTTACAGTTCATAAATGTTCTGATAAGTCTGTTAAAAATTATTTCACTAGTCTAGAAGCTCAGAGAATTGCCGATTCTCTTGATAAAAGTGCTATATGTAATTCTCTTCCCAACAACATTGTGTACAACATAGCTATCTATGGTCTTTGTAAGTCTGGGAAAATTGATGAAGCAAGAAGCGTTCTGTCAATTTTGTTGTCTAGAGGTTTTCTTCCAGATAATTTCACATATGGTGCCTTAATTCATGCCTGTTCAGCTGCTGGTGATGTGGAGGGTGCCTTCAACTTAAGGGATGAGATGCTGGAGAAAGGTCTTATTCCAAATATTACTACATATAATGCATTGATAAATGGGTTGTGCAAAGCAGGAAATATGGATCGAGCACAGAGACTTTTCCGTAAACTTCCTCAAAAGGGCTTGGTTCCCAATGTTGTTACCTATAATATACTAATCAGTGGTTACTGTAGAATTGGTGATCTTAATGAAGTCTCTAAATTGAGAGAGAAGATGATAGAAGAAGGGATTTCTTGAACCCATTTTCTGCTTTGATCAGTGGTCTTTCTGGAAGACTCTAAAGTTTTGCGATCAAATTATTCTGGCATACTAGTTAAATTCTTGCCGGATGCTAAATGCAAAGTCGAGCTGCTGGCTCGTAAATACTCATCTGCAGCCAAGTTCTGATGCATCAATTTCCAACCAAATTTGGTATAGAAACAAATCATTTCTTTCAAATGATTTTTAGGTTGGTAATGGACTAATGGTCATATTCTCTTGCCTATTCATTCGTAAGCATCATATTTGAAAGTCTAGAGTCTCATTCTCTTTGTTTTGGAAGCCTGACACTGGGAAGCGAAGCAAGTTAGAAGGTACCAACTTTCTTGCTGATAATGCAACTAAATGAATAGGTTGCCTTCAATTAGGGTGATGTTATCAATCTAGAATTTTTATAGGTAAACTGATTTGTGTATGTTGTGCAACTCAGGTAAGATGTTGAAGAAGCTAGATGGCATGTCATTTTGTGCCTTGTAATGTTGTTGGAAGCTGAGTTCTTATCAACTCTGCATCAGCATGTCATCTATTTGAAAGGGGAAAAGACTTCATTCATAGGGGAAGCACCATTTTCATTTAGACATTCCCCACCATGTTGGGAGATATAATGGCTAGACCAATAACCAGTGCAAGTGTGGTCTATATAGTACCCTTCGGGACTTCACAATATCGGGATTATAGGAAGATTTCTAAATTGAAGGTTCTAACTTAAATTACTTTGTAGAGTAATTCTACATACTTCAAAAAGTAATAGCTAGATCATGGGTGGTTGTTCAATAAGATTAAATTATAGGGATAACTCATTCATTCATCAAACACAAGCAGTCAATAAGCTTGCCAACTCATTTTGTTGAAACTTATGACAAAAGGATTCTGGACATGAATTCCATGTCATTTCACCAATAGGGGGTGGGGGGCTCTCTTGGTTGACCTTCTGTTCTGATCGTGACAACTATATATTTGGCAGGTAATTTGTAATCCTGTTGTAAATACTCTCTAAGATTGCTGGTTTTGTCCTGGCATTAGAGTGGAAAGAGCCTCCTTTCCCTAATGTTTTTCTTATACCCAAAAAATATTCCTCGCCATTCTTTTGAAACACGTAGTTTGGCCTGCAATTATTAGAATGAGGCTAAACCACGTAGAAACAGCTTTGGCTGTGAAATGATTCTTTTTTATTTTATTTTATTCATTTATTACTGTTTTGGACAGGTTGAATAAATTTCCATTTTTATGGATCCTTTGCACCAAAATAATATCAGTAATTATATCATTATTACTATTTAGTTTCTTCTTTGATCTAATACTGTGGCACACTTGTATGGCATCTGAGTATGGAATTGAAACTAATAGGAGCATGAAAGCATCCTAAATTCCTTGGACCGTCTGATGTGTCCAAACTATAGACATGTACACTTAACTATTCATTGAAACTGTTGAGGCATTATTTGAATTGATCAGGATTCAAATGCTATTGTGTGGACAGGGTAAGCTATCAGATCGTTGTATAAAGATTGAGACTGAAGCTGATATAGTATAATAAGAGAAAGATTGGAGGTTGTGACAAAGATGAAAGAGAGAGCAAAGAGTGGAGGACTAAGGGATCCTTTACTTGTGTTTCCATTTTTTATTTTGGGTCCGCTTGGATAAACTTATTTAGAAAGATTCTTCGAAGAGCAAAATACAAAAAAAATAAAATGAAATAAGTTAATTTGGAGAAATTCATTCCTATTAATTTCTCAAAAATCTTATTTTTAATTTGTATAAATTAATTTTAGCTTTGGAAAAGTTAATTTTGATTTTTTTTTCCTTAAAAGTGTTTATGAAGAAATTTATCCAATCTGGCCTTTTCACTTTTTAATTACAAAAGTGACACTTTGTTTTCATGTTTCTGGTTTTCAAAGATTTTTACATGAAACAATGAAAACGGCTTTTTTGCTTTCTCGGTTTTCTGTATAAATATTTTAAAAAAGGAAATATATCGAAAAAAAAGTGATAGTTTTGTAATTAATAAGTGAAAACAAAAACAGAAAATGGAAACACGAGGAAATATATCGAAAAAAAAGTGCTAGTTTTGTAAGGTAAAGGATAGTTTCGTTTCCAGGTTGCAGACAGCTAGGCTGGGGAGGTCTAGCTGAATTTCACTAAATGCTTAAACTAATCTGTTACAGCCATTGGTTTTCAGTGAAAGAATCATTCATATGGCACATATTAAGATGCAAGAGTAATGCTTTTCCATTATTGGACTGGCAGATTCTTGTATCAAGCATGCTAGACTTAGTTTAGCAACATAGCAAATTCATCTGCTTTACTTTCTGCAATGATAAAAATTAGAGTGAGATTGCATTCTGCATTATTTCATCTCATGCAGATACAAAAGCAGTTAAAATCATTGCCTCTTCTATTTTGCACAGTAATAAAGTACTTCGTGTAATCAGTTCAGAATATGGACAACAAAAATTGGAAGGCTTCGTGTTGATAGTGACCAATCTCTGCCTGCAGATACAATGGTCATGGTGCCAGCTGCATATTTGTCTCAGGTCCTTAATTAAGGATGAAATTTGTATATTGGCACTTGGTTATTCCATAGAATATTTGCTACTTGCTATTGCTAGTGCTTTTATTGTTGTGCGATTGCAACTTGTTTAATATATGCATATTTTTTCTTTATTTTCTCTGGACATTTTCATTTCTATTTTATTCTTTTCATTACAACATTTATCAAATCTTTTAATTTTTTAAGATTAAATATGTTTTTAATCTTATTAAATATTAGTTAAATTTGTTTTTATTCCTCAAATTTAAAACTGATTTTATAGTATAATAAATATTAGTAGGAAAAGACATATTCTGTGTCTTTATTAAAAATAAAATTTAAAAGTAAAATAAATAAGTGGTTACATATTCTGTATATAATGGTCTCTAAAGTAGAAATCAAAGAGGTAGTAATAGAAAGGTATATATTTTTGAAGGTATAATTGTCTCTAACAAAAGTTGAAACTAAAATAATAAGCAAAAATATTTCTTTTATTATAGTTATAGATGGTAAAATTGTCATTACCAGATATGATGGGGTGGAGTTAAGGCGGATAGTGATCTCGTAAGCTGTTTTGTTTAGGACATGTATTTATGAAATTTTTGTATATCCATAAATATGTGTTAATATATAAAGTTCTAAATAAAAATGTAAGTAAAATTAAATAAACAATTGACTGAATTGTATTTTTGGTCTTTTTATAATATCAAATATACAATTTTAGTTTCTTAATTTTTAAATTGATAATTTTAGTCTCCCAATTTTATTAAAATGTTTGTTTGAATTTGTGATTTCAATTTTACATGAATGAATATAAACAAAATACAAAGTATATTGAAAAAATATGTTGGTTAAGACATTAAGGAATGTAAAGATTCAAAATTTCGGCTATTAGTACCTTAAATGTGGGTTTTTATATCGGTTTTAAATTTGGTGTAAAAATATCTTGCCTCCTATATTAGTTATATTTATGTGTTTGGTAGCGATATAGAATGATCAAAATAAATAATGAAAAAAAAGGTGGCTTGTAAGTGTTTTTTAATGGGATACAAAACAATAGTTTTCATTTTCCATGTGCAAAGGCCATTAGAAGAGTCTAACGTATTTATCTATCTATGTTCGTTAAAACTGCCAATAATTTTGCATTGCATGATCACCCATGTGATGTTTAATGATATTTTCTTTCAACAGCCAAACTATATATATGTAACATAAATTTAGGTACAAGGGTTTCAACTCATTTACAACGAACCCTAAAAAAAATGAAAAGGTAAACACCTTTATAGATTAATGTGATTATTTTATATTTATCAGCATATTAAGTTTGTTAGTAGGCAAACCAAATTGTTAACTTGTTAGCTATATTTTTTTAATCGAAAATACTTGAAAATTTCTATCAACACCAATCATATTATATATATATATATATATATATATATATTCTCATTAATA